TTCCTTCCTTTCTTCCCTCCTTCCTTCCTTCCTTCCTTCCTTCCTTCCTTCCTTCCTTCCTTCCTTCCTTCCTTCCTTCTCTTCTTCCCCTCCCCCTCTTCTTCCCCTTTCCTTCCCTTCCTCCCTCTTTTCCCTCCCCTCCCTCTTTATTCTCTTTATTCTCAGTATCTTTTTATTGGAAAAGAAGGAAGTGCGATATTGCCATTTACCCTTTGCCTATTTCCTAAAGTGTTTTATTTGGTTAAAAAAATTTTTTTTGTCCTAGTTTGCTTCATGGGGAACTGTTCCCTCCTACCATCCCAGTCATCTGCAAATTGGGCGCATGCACAGTCCAGGTTCTCCTGGGAGAACCTTTGTACTCTGCATTGACACTTAGGAAGAAGAGTCGAAGTATTATTGACTTACAGTAAGAAATCATATTATGCCAGGCACTGAAAGCTCATGCCTATAATCCTAGCTACTCAGGAGGCTGAGATCTGATCACAGTTCAAAGCCCGCTTGGGCTGGAAAGCCTGAGACTCTTACCTCCAATAAACCACTCAGAAAACTGAAAGTGGTGCTGTGGCTCAAGTGATAAAATGCTAGCCTTGAAAGCTGAAGAGCTGAGGGACAGCGCCCAGGCCCAAAGTTCAAGCCACACAACCAACAACAACAACAACAAAAATTACACATTAACATAACAATATTTGTGAAACTAAGTACACGAAATAGTACTTACTATTCATTTTTAAAAAAAATTAGCATCAAGTAATTGTGCAAGAGTTTCATATCAAAATATCCATTTATGTATACAGACAGAGCATATCTCTTGTCATTTTCTCTTCTCTCCTTCTTCCCAGACCAATCTCAGCAAGATTCATTGTTTCAATTACATGCATATAAAGTGTTTGGCCATATTCACTCTCCCTTAAAAATCTTTATCTTTAGTGATAATGGAGTTCAAACTCAGGACTTCACATTTGCAAAGAAGGCAATCTTCTACTGAGTCACACCTCCAACTCTGTTAGTTCTGGTGTTTCTGATGTTATCTATTCAGGTTTATACCACTTCACTTAAAAAAGAATGCTTATTATGACTAAATTAATTCACATACCACAACAGTCTAAAAAATAATGCCCTGTAAATAGGATATAATTGATTAAGCTATAAACATGAATTACTGGAATTTTTATTATAGAAGTCAAGGATTGCTTGTAGTCAAATGAATATTTGAAATAAGAGTAAAATGTACCTTTTATTTCTCCCCTCCTATTTAAATTTCTTTATTTTCCTATCTTATTGTTTTCAAGATAGAATGCAAAAGCATTTTACTATTTGTTTAAAAAACTACAGAAGCTTGGTAAGTTATTAGTGAGTTTTAGAAGTTGCTTTGGACTGAAAGTTTCTCTGCTCCACTAAATAAAGATGAAGTGTTGTCCTTTCTTTTTATTATGCTTTAAGATTTAGGTTAGGATAGGTTATATGTTTTGAATAAGCATTAAGTGTGGGTAACTTTTAGTCTCTATGAAAATACTTGAAAGGTTAGTATTTTCAAGTTTGTAATTTTCACTTTGTCATTTGGTGTGGTGGAACTTTGGAATTTTGGTAGTTAGTCCTCAGGAGAAGGTTTTTGAATGTATCCTTTAAAGCTTCCTGCTTCCCTCCAGGTTAACTTAGCATAACTGACTCTTGAGTGGTCTCTGCTTTTCTGAGCTTTCTAGTGAACTAAATAGAAAGATGAACAAACTAGAAGGAAAGATCTGGAGAACTTGATAAAATCTATAATCATAAGGAAAAATGGCATTTCATCTTCTCACATAAATCAGTTTCTGGGGGGAGGGGAAGGAGGAGTTGGGGAGGAGGGAAGGAAAGGGATGGTAGGGGAAAATAAATGAAGGTGTAACAATGAAAAGAAAAAAGGAAACTTTTTTTTTTTAACAACAACAACAAAAAAGTCAGTTCTTGCCAGGAGTGGTGATACATAGCTATAATCTCAGTACTTGGGAGGCTGAGGCAGAATGAGCATGAGCTCCAGAACAACCTGAGTTACATAGAAGAACCTTCTCAAAATCCCCCTCCCTGCCAAAAAAATTCAATTAATCTAACCCTACAAAAGAAGGGGGATGGGAAAAATTAAAAGATCACTATATGATATAAAACGATTGTGCTAATTTTTACAAGCTATAAGAAAAATTGAAACTGGAAAGGAATGTGGCTTAGTGGTAGAGTGCTTGCCTAGCATGCATAAAGCCCTGGGTTCAATTCCTTGGTACCACATTAACACAAAAAAATAAATAAAATTATTAAACTGGCTTAACTCAGGAGGCAGAAAGGCACAGTGGGTTTGAAAAAAAAAAGAAAAGTTGGAACTAATTTTAGTCTCTCTTCTTGAAGGCACTGAAATAGAAGAAGCATTTTAGATTTAGCTCTGCACCAAAAAGTTTTTGGGGGCTATTATTCGAAAAGAATAAGATTTTATTTTTTGAAAATATAATTTCAGGTCATATAAACATATTTAGATAATATGGTATTTGTATTATCTAAATATAATTGTGTATTATGTTTTATAGAATAAGCAAATTAACATAAATCATTTATAATTGCATGTTGTTATAATACATTATATTAATACATTATGTATTATAAGTGAACATTTGATTATATTATTTATGTTATATTAATATAATTTTCTGTAGAATATATGCATTATGTCATATGAAGTACATTATACATATAATAAATATGTATAAAACAACATACATTGAGTGTAATAATGTATGTGGCAGTAAATTTTCTATATAAAATATAATTTAAATGCCTTCCTTATTAAATAATATAAATATTATGTACAATTATATATAATTGTCTTTTACAGTTACTAGAGCATTTAGAAACCTAATTACCCTCTGAATGAGAGCTGAATAGACTATGGGTTTTTTTTTATGGGATTTTTAACATTTCTTACATTTCTCTTTTCCATTTTAATTGAATATAGGAGTTTACTAAAGGTCCTGTGGTCATAAGAAGAAAAAATTAAAACAATTTCCTTTTTATAAATGTCAGTATGTCAGATTTTCGTAACAAATGGCTGTTCATGTTCTTTAAAATATTTATTTTAGTAGTTTTTGAAACTTATGGACCTGTCTTCAGAGTTCATGAAATTTCCATTAGACTGTGAATTTGACACTTTTAAATTATTTAAAAAAGCCATTTGGAGCCAAATGTATCTTATGAGTATATTTTTTGTTTTTGTTATTTTGTCAGTCATGGGGCTTGAACTTAGGGACTGAGTGTTGTCCCTGAGCTTTATCACTCAAAGCTAGTGCTCTACCACTTTGAGCCACAGCACTACTTCCAGTTTTCTGGGAGTTAATTGGAGGTAAGAATCTCACAGACTTTCCAGCCCCAGCTGGCTTTGAACTGCAATCCTCAGATCTCAGCCTCCTGAGTAGCTTGGATTACAGGTGTGAGCCACCAGCACCTGGCTGAGTATAAAGTTTTTAATCAAGTTGTTTAAAATAACTTTTGGGTAGAAGTAGTGAGTCATATTTCAACATTGATTGCAAATTTTGGTGTGAATTAAGTTAACCCAAGTATGGCACACTTTCAAAAGAGTTGTCTTAAGGGGCTGGGAAGGTGGCTCAGTGGTAGAGCGCTTGCCTTGCATGCCTGAGGCCCTGGGTTCGATTCCTCAGCACCACATAAGCAAAAAGAAAAAAGCTGGAAGTGGCGCTGTGGCTCAAGTGGTAGAGCGCTAGCCTTGAGCTGAAGAGCTGAGGGACAGCGCCCAGGCCCAGAGTTCAGGCCCCACGACTGGACTTCCCCCAAGAAAAACAAAGAGTTGTCTTAAAAACTGCTTGTTGTAACAAAAATATTCAAATAGGTCTATAATCCCCTAAGATAACCGAAAGTATTCTTTTTTCATTATTGTCATACTTAAGCAACAAAATCCCATTTTGTAATCACCTTACTAAATCTTGTATAGAGAGATCTTACTTCACAATTTATTTTTCAGATAACATTTAAGTGTTGATGATGGTGACATTGTTTTTTATATTTTAAAATGAATCTTGTAGGCAATTTTTTTTTTTTTTTTTTTGTCAGTTGTGGGGCCTGAACTCTGGGCCTGGGCGCTGTCCCTCAGCTCTTCAACTCAAGGCTAGCGCTCTACCACTGAGCCACCTTCCCAGCAGTATATTTTTTTTTTTATCTACATGACAAAATTATTCTTCCTTAGAAATGACTGCTAGGATAAAACTGAGAAACTTAGTTAGAATCTGTTTTCACTCTCCAAAGAATATCTTAATTTTCTTTGATGGTAGGTCATTTATAACACTTTTTAAGATAAGCTGATTTATTTGGCTTTTTTCTTTAATTAGGCTCAAGGGGCCCAGAGAATCCTCTGGACCATTCAATTAGCAATGAAAGGGGAGAATCAGGCTATGATAGGTTGATGGATCCCCACAGAGCACCTTCTGACACTGGGTCCCTGTCACCTCCCTGGGAACAAGACCGCAGGATGATGTTCCCACCATCAGGTATGTAGAAACAGTTGTTATTTTTGATATTTGGAAGGCAGCGAGGATGTGTTTCATGTACTAAGAAGAATATATGTGTTTTCCCTATCAAGAAAGTAGAGCTTCCAAGTGCTTCATTTTTCTTGACATGTCTAGGTCATCAGCTGAGGAAAATAAGGATGAGGAAGAGATTTGAAGAGAGAGAAAATGGAGACAGTAGCCATCTGGGAGAACAGAGAAGGAAGTTATTAGTGTAGTACTGTATGATTACATAGTGTATCAGAAGCAAATATCAGTGCCATGTAGTGCGTTATTGAGCATCAATCAGAACAGTAAACTTAATTATCATTAGTTAGTTTTGGGTGCTTATTTTGTACCAGACACAGTGTAAGTGCTTTTTATTAGTCATTCTTTTTCTCTCAATTTACAGATGAGTAAACAATGATACAGAGGGGTTAGTTGGGTAGCCTGCTGAAAGTTTAAGTGAGATTATGGAGCACAATCTTCTGTATGATTTTTGAGAATTTGCGTATTAATATTTGCTTCAGATATATATAAGTAAAAATATAAAAAGAAATATATTATAAATTGTAAATAGCCTAAGTATACATGTGTAAGACATAAAAAGAAATGACTTGAAATCTATTTCATTTTTTTTCTTGGACACATTCCTTTCCTAAAGACAACTGCTCATGAATTTAGTATATGTGAACTTCAGTCCATGTATGATTTTTTAAAAAAAACTTGGTATTAATCAGCTTTACTCATCAGCATTATGTTCTCAAATTCTACGTTAGTGTATGTAAATTTTGTTACTTTCATATGGCATAATATATCAATATATAAACAAACCCCACAATATTCATATGTGTATTTTTCTGAATTTCAAGAGGTTGTAGAAAGGGGTTAAATTTAACATGTTCGTATGTATAGTTTCTCTTGAGGAAAATTTAGTGTTTCCAGTGTTTTGTTCATTGATGACAAAACTTCTCTTAACACTTTGTATGTTCATTCTGTACATTTGTCTAGGAAACAGTTGCTGAGTAAGAGGGTAGCTATCTTTTCATCTTTACCCCTTTGTCCTCAGGAGAACAAAACTGTGAGAAAGTGTAGATGTTTTTCCAGGATAATTCTTAATTTGGGAAGCTGCAGAAAGCCCTGCATTTATTCCCATTCCTCATTCTTTGCTTTCTCTCATTGTTTTCCTTCTGTTACCTTTCTTCTGAATCATCTCTCATGAAAGCTGGGGGCGGGGGGAATAACAGCAGTGCTTATCTTTCACTCATGGTGTGCCTTCTGTGGGGTTTTATCTTATAATGTATGTACATATACACTGTGTGTGTGTGTGTGTGTGTGTGTGTGTGTGTGTGTGTGTGTGTGTGTGTGTGCGCGTGCGTGCATGTGCACATGCATGCGCAGTATCTCTGTTTATTTGTCTATCTTTTCTTTCAGGGTAAAGTTTACTGCCTCTTTAACATTTCTGGTTCCTCCAATCAGAATTAGATAGGCCATCTCTTATATTACTCATATTCTCCTTTATAAAAACATAAAGCATTTTATATTTTGTTCATTTTGGTTAACATTAGGCTACAAGGGCAGACTATACTGGTACCAACATCATATTGCTAGTACCTGCCACATAACAAGTTCTGAATTTAAGGACTGGATCATGGCAACATGGGCATATGAGTTATAAAATGGTAAATTTGTAACAGCTTCTGTTGTAAATGTATGAGGTTGCTGATGCTGTAGAGATGTGTTTTTGAAGCAAAATATTAATACAGTGACTTGAGACTTGACTGAGAAAGAATTAGAAGTTCTCAGGTTTTCTATTTCATATCTTGTTCAGTTTTGCCATTTAATGAATCCCTTGTTTGAAAGAAGAAAGGAAGAACTTGGTTTTGATCTCAGTGGTTAGTACCAGCTTTTGCTTTTACCACACGAATACTTTTACCTATTAAGACAACTCTTTGCTTAAATTCTGAGTGGTGGTATAAATGAGCCTTCAGGACTATCTGCATCTTTCTTTGCTCAGTCATATCTTCTCACCCTTGGGAACTCACTAAGTATAATTCTCTCCATTGGTCCTTGTTGATGCTAGCAGGTTTCTTTGGCTTTGTCAGGGCAAGATGTCTCCATAGAGTTCGGTGTGGTTGAGTCAGGGGAGGATTGATATTATGTGGCATTATGAACCACAGCCTTTGAGAATCTTGGAAAGCAATTTAGAGCCGTATGTTCATATGTATAATAGGATAGGAGAGAACCGCACAATTAACCTTCTTTGACTCTCTTCTCTCCCTGATTTCAACATTGGACATAGGTATACCTAGCCTAGCGAACTCTGCCATTGCCTCTTAAGAATGACATAAACTCTCTCTCTATATATATATATTTTTAATTTTTAAAGAACATTTTTGTTATTGTAAGTGACTCCTGGAACCTAGGAGTGTGTCCATAGATGCACTGAGGCAGTGTCTGTATCCAGATTTGTCTGTAACTCAGCAGTCAGAACCTTGTGTTAATCTACTCAGTCAGATCTTTCTATTTAGCTTGGATGGATGCTAAGTTCCAAAATTTTGAACAAGGGAGAACCATGGAAGAGGTGACATTATTAATCAAGATGCAGTGTACTGATAAATTGTTATGTTTAATTGAAACCCCTTTGTACAACTACTTAAAGATAATAATAAAATTAAAAAATTAAAAAAAGACCTTCTCCCCAAAATTTGAACTTGGTGAAAATTTGACCATTGAAGACTTGTTATACTCTTTGTGCTTTGGTGATAAATGTTACCTGTTCTGTAATGTTCCCTCCTTAGTCTTTTTGATATTTTGCTATATCTAATTTGAACTGTTATTAATTAAAAGCTAAATGAATTTGTCTATTTTTAAATTTTTGTTATTTCACAGTATTGGGGTTTGAACTCAGGGCCTTGCACGTGCTTGAAAATTGCTGACAGTCTTGTTTTTTGTCTAAATTTAAGTTTATATCAATGAAGACAATTTTAAAACTTGTTTTCTAGGTCAACCATATCCTGACGCAGCTCTTCCCCTACAGAGGCCAGACAGATTTTATTCTAATTCTGGTAGATTATCTGGACCAGCAGAACTTAGAAGTTTTAATATGCCTTCTTTGGATAAAGTGGGTAAGCAATGCTGTGTACGTTTAAATAATGTGGCTTTAGGAAGGACTAGAAGCTAAATACAAGATAAACCCAGTACTGTCTCTGCTAGCTCTTCAGATCAAAATCTCTTCCCTAAAGTATCCTGGTTTCATGTTTCTTACTATCTTGTATGCAGTCATAGCATCTAAATAGCTCTTGGCAGAGGATTGAACACAGTGGTAATAGGTTTACTATGATTACACACTTTGTTCTGGCTAACTTAATTTTTTTTCAGTTCACTTACATATATCCTGTGTAGCCACAGGGAGATTAGGATGTGTGCAAAGCCACCAAATAATTTGGATTTACCTTCTATTGATGGCTTAATCAGTTACCTTCTTTAAACATTTCCTACTTAGATTTAACAACATTTACAGAGCAATCCACTGTTTCTCATGCATCCTTTTACTTCAACTACCTCATGGCCACCCACTGACAGTGGGAAACATACATGCTTGTTCTCAGTATCATAACTGCTTTGGAGAGACCTATGAGTAGTAGCAGGAAGGGGTTGGGCTAATGAGGAGGATGAAATACGTTGTTTGCAGCTATGAAATTGAACAATGAAACCTGCTGAAATTGTTTTGGGAAGGGGGAAAGAGGGCAGGGACGGTAATAGAGTGGAAGAAACTTATTGGAATATATTGTAAACATGTAGAGAGAGGTAGCAATTAAATCCCCCCTCCCATATAACTAATGTAAGTATGTAACATATCAGAAAAAAAGAATTTTTTTTTTTTTGGGTCTGGTCGTGGGGCCTGAACTCTGGGTCTGGGCGCTGTCCCTCAGCTCTTCAGCTCAAGGCTAGTGCTCTACCACTTGAGCCACAGCACCACTTCTGGCTTTTTTGCTTATGTGGTGCTGAGGAATCGAACCCAGGGCCTGAGGCATGCAAGGCAAGCGCTCTACCACTGAGCCAACTTCCCAGCCCCGAAAAAAAGAATTTTTAAAAGTAGAAAATTAAATTTATTGGGAAGAAATTTCTTCAGGAAAGTATGGAGATATGTGCACATGCGCACACATGCACACACAAATACAAATACAGGGCAGGCATTATCCAGTTAAAGTGTTTATTATTTTAGAAAATCAGTAATTTGAGAGTAAGCAGGAAAGTCAGACTTACAACTGAGATTTCTGTTATTAGTTAATTATATTTAGGATCTTGAAATCCTCCTATCCAATATAGTTCAATAGAATGATTAAACATATATTATTAAACATTTATTGCTAAAATAATGCCATTAATTTTTTTTTTTTTGATCCGGTCGTGACGTCTGAACTCTTGGTGCTGTCCCTCAGCTCTTCAACTCAAGGCTAGCGCTCTACCACTTAAGCCATGGTGCTACTTCCGGCTTTTATTCTTTTTTTTTGCCAGTCTGGGCCTGAACTCTGGGCCTGGGAAATGTCCCTCAGCTCTTCAGCTCAAGGCTGGCGGTCTACCACTTGAGCCACAGTGCCACTTCTGGTTTTTTCTGCTTATGTGGTGCTGAGGAATCGAACCCAGGGCCTCACGCATGCAAGGCAAGTGCTCTACCACTGAGCCACTTTCCCAGCCCCAAATGGTTTTTGTTTGTTTGTTTGTTTTTGGTCCAGTCCTGGGGCCTGAACTCTGGGGCCTGGGCGCTGTCCCTCAGCTCTTCAGCTCAAGGCTAGCGCTCCACCACTTGAGCCACAGCACCACTTCTGGCTTTTTTCTTTTTGCTTATGTGGTGCTGAGGAATCGAACCCAGGGCCTCAGGCATGCAAGGCAAGTGCTCTACCACTGAGACACCTTCCCAGCCCTGTTTATTAATTTTTCTGTGGAACAAATAGTTATTACTTAGGCCAAGAGAAAACTTTTTTACTTTTCCTTTTTCCCTTCCCTCCCCTTCCCTTCCCTCCCTTCTCCCTTCTCCCCTCCCCTCCCCTCCCTTCACCTTCCCTCTCCTCTCCTTTCCTTTCTTCCTTTCGCCAGTCTTGAGGTTTGAATTCAGGGCCTGGGCACTGTCCCTGAATTCTTTTTCCTTTAGGCTAGCAGTCTACCACTTGAATCACAGCAACACTTCTGGCTTTTTCTGTTTATGTGGTACTGAGGAATTGAATCCAGGGCTTTATGCATGCTAGGCAAGCACTCTACCACTAAGCCACATTCACAGCCAAGTTGCTACTTTTGATAAAGTATAATTTATAGTCTTTCTTTAAATTTTGAGATTGGGTCTCAAGCTTGTGGGCTCAAGTGATCTTCACTCAGCTTTCTGAGTAGCTGGTGTTCTAGGCATTCACCACTATGCCTGATTTAAGTACAGCACAGAATTTTTTAAGTATTCGTTATTTAAAAGACATCTTCTTAAACATAGTACTGGATATAGTAAGATACTAATAATCAAATAGGAGAACAGACAAATACATATGCTATGTTACTACTGATCTAAGAAGACACTTTTATTATTCTCATCTTATGGAGGCTCAAAAAGGTTCTCAAGGTCTCAGGTAGAAAGTATTGGAGGCAAGATCTGTACATGTGTCCTCTGCCTCCAGAGCTGTGGCCTTGCCTTCTGGAGTTTACTGAAATGAAAGGACATTAGAATCATCCATCAGTGTACTCAGTGTAGTCACATGCTACTTAACAATGCTGTGTAACATGTTCTCAGAAATGTCAAGTGTTCCCTTGTTGTGCAAACATCAGAGTAAACTTAGGCCATCTGAAAAAACAGCACTAACAACATCGTCTTATGGGACCACCATTATATATGCAGTCCATCACTGGCCCAAGCCCTGTTGTATGGTGCATGCCTGTATACTGAATACTTACTGCACGTTTGTGGCTGTGTACTTGCAGTATGCCAGTGTAAATAGGACAGGACTTAGCCTTCCATACCTGAGGTCTCATAGAAGTGTGCAGGTAAGTGCACTATAATGACAGGATTTATGAGTAGAGCATGTTAGCGGATCACACAGACTAGCCCCGATGAGGTGTTGGTGTGTCAAGTGTGAGGTTGTCACAAAAAATCTTGGCTTGGTATCTATCAGCTGAGACTTGAAGGAAGAATTAACTGGACCAAAATGATGATGATAAATGTTTTAGGATGAGAATAGGAGTTTAAGGATTAAGAGTAAATTATGGCCACTGCATGGGGTAGTAGTTGGGGGATCTTTAACTGTGTACCTAGGCATTGTGTGGATTTTGCAAGGCCTATCAACCCTATTCAGAGATTTGAATCTAATTCTAATGATAATGGCAGTCTATTAAAGGGTCTTAAGCCGAGCAATAATATACTACTACTGGTGGAGAGATTTCTGTGGTGGTGTGGTAGAGATTAGATTAGAGAGAGCAATGAAGATTAGAGACTGACAGGTGATGTTGGTTCAGCAAAAGGATAGGTCTACATGGAAAATGAGTAGACGTGGAAAAGGTAGAATGAGGAGGATGTAGAGGTCAAGTATAGACGGTGAGGGAGAAGCAGCACTGGCAGATGTCCCAGCCTCCTGCCCGTGGCACCTACAGGCAATGGAATAGGAATAGTGTTGAAGTATCTTTATTTGTTTGACCATAAAAAGCTAAGGGACTGTGTAAGTGACTGGTGATGTGAATGAAGAGTTCTTACTGAGGAGGAGACATGGAAGGAAGTAGGGAGCGTGCATGCTGAAGTACGGTGGAGGGCTTGGAGGGTGCCAGTCTCTATGGCTTAGGATTTTCCTTCCCAGCAAGGATTGTACTGAGCAAGTGTGACAGAGTGGAAGCAGAGGTCTTCATCAGTGTGATACTGAAATGCTGCTAAGCACAAGTGGAACCTGACCAATTAGGGAAGGTTGGGGCTGGCTAGCTGAAGAGAGGGGGCTTTTGGAGCTGATTTGAATGGGGAAAGAGGACACGAAGGTTAGAACACAGGAAACCTAAGTAACTTCTAAGGACAAGTGTCACAAGAGGAGAGAGTAGACAGGGGTGTGGTCAGAGAACTAGAATTATTATGTTTTGCTTGTCCTGGGGCTTGAACTCAGGGCCTAAGTGCTATGCCTATGCTGTTTTTGCTCAAGGTTAGCACTCTAACACTTGAGCTCCAGCTCCAGTTTTTTTTTTTTTTTTTTGTAGTTTAGTAGAGATAAGAGTCTCAGGGAACTTTCCTGCTTGGACTGGCTTCAAACTGTGATCCTCAGATCTCAGCCTCCCGAGTAACTACAGGGATGAGCCCCTGGCGCCCAGCCAGAGAGAACTTGAATTTATGGCAGAGAAACCGAGCCTTTATTGACGGGGAAGGCTGGGAACATTTTGCTAGACACCTGGGTTAAGTTCAAGAGGCAAGTTTTAGTTATTTGACATAGGAATGGCGGGGAAGGAGGAGGCAAAATAAAAGGAAGGGCTGCTGTCTCCCAGATGTGTTTTATCATGCTGCTGTAGCAAGGTTGCCTAGCAAGCAGCTGGAGCGTTCACTGCCCACACTTGCGGAAGGCAGCATCTGCCAGAATTTCCATGAGCGTAAGCTGCCCTTGTGACTGATACAGAGCGCAGAGGGCAGGCCGGTCTCCATGCCAACATGAGGAGTGGGAAACTAGCAATGTAGAATGAAGAGTAATCGATCATGCACTTTTCTGTCTAGATGGGTCATTGTCTTCAGAAATGGAATCCAGAGCAAATGATACCAAAGATGATATTGGTGTAAGTATTGGAAGTGGAATTTTACTCTTGTGTTCAGGGAACTTCTAATGTCTTGGCTTAACTAGAATAGGAATACAGCTAATAGTTTACTTTGTGATAAAAAGCTGCTTGTCTTTTGACAGACTTCTTCACATTAAAGCTGGATTGTAACCTATGGTGATAAAGTACACATTTCAAGCAGGTGTAGTGGTGTACACCTGTAATTCTAGCGCTCAGTAGGCTGAGGCAGGAGGGTGGTGAGCTTGAGGCCAGTCGGCGCCATGGGGAGACCCTGTGTCAAACATACAGAGAAACAGCAAAGCAACAAAAAGAAACTTGGCAGCTTTCTTCTTAAGAAAAAAAACAAGTACAGTTTGTAGACTGTGCATTAAAGTTAGCTTGTTAGTTGGACAAGATGTTAGATTTTCCCCTCTTGGATTTTTTTTCCCCCTAGAATTGGGATTTGCCCTTGGTTTGTTTGGCTGGCCCTCTACCATTTGAGCTTTGCTTCCAGTCCTACTTTTTTTCTTCATAGTTGCCTATGTGTTTTCTTCCAAGCCTAGAATCTGGGGAAAAGAATTGTGCATTTTGTTGCTTATATGACTGTTTTATGTGAATCTGTTACAGAACTCACACATGCTTGACTCATCTCTCGCTGCTGAGAGGGAAGCCCCCGGCTCGGGCTTTGCGCCTCCACCCCTCCCTCCGGTCCGAGCTCCCTTGTTTCCAGTGGATCCCAGGAACCAGTTCTTGAGAAGGGCACCTCCATTTCCTCCACCTCCTCCCAGCGCCCTGTATGGAGTTCCCCGGGACTATTTCCCACCCAGGGGTTTCCCTGGCCCACCACCTCCTCCGTTCCCAAGTAGGTGTCTTTAAATTTATGTTTGTGTAGAGCATCAGTTCTCTAGGTTGTGGGAGCGTACCAGTGCTTTCCAGATGGAGAGGGGCTGGCTTCCTTCCTCCCAACATGGGCCTGGTTCTGTATTCAGTGTCCAGAAGGGCATTGACTTTTTGCAGCAGTCTTCATGCAGACAAAAATGCTTTGTAATCTCGTTTGATAGAAACTTGGCATTTAAATTAATTTTAATTTATATCTTAGCATTAACATTGCTAGAGAGGGTTTTTTTTTTTTGTTTCTTTTGTTCCTATTCTGGGGTTTGCTTAAGCTAGTGCTCTACCACTTAAGGCATAGCCTCACTTCCAGCTTCTTGGTGGTTAATTGGAAATAAGAGTCTCATGAACTTCCCTGCCCAGGTTGGCTTTGAACTGAAGTCCTCAGATCTCAGCCTCCTGAGTAGTTAGGATTATAGGTGGGAGCCACTAGTACCTAGAGGTTTTTTTTTTTTTTTTTAAATTTATGTAATTGTACAAAGGAGTTGTCAATTTCTAACAAGGCAGTTTATGAATATAGTATACTTTAATCAGTGTCACCTCTTTCAACATTCTCACACAGGAGTATTTTTAATATTCTTTTTCATGATTCTCCTGTGATCCTATTTATTTCTTAAGATGTATATATTGTACTTACTCTAGTTGTTGGGTTTATTGAAATTCTGTCATGGCTTTATTGAAAAAAAGAATGATGTGCTATTTTATAGCCATATTTTGCCGTTAAGAATGCCAGATTTTTGCCTATATTTTTATAAATAATGAAGTCTGTTGTCTTATGCAGTCATTCTCTCCTTCTTCTAATTTTGAAGTTTAAGGTGGATTAAGAGGAATATTGGGGACTAGAGGTATGACTCAAGTGGTCCAGTAAGTGCCTAGCAGGCATTAGCTTTGGGTTCAAATTCATGTGCTGTCAAAATTTACAAAAAAAAAAAAAGAGAGACATGCTCTGGTATGTCTGCAGTTTTAGCTACTCAGGAGGCTGAGGTCCTGAGGATCGAGGTTTGAAGCCAGCCTAGGCAGGTAAGTCCCTAGGACTTTTATCTTCAACTAACCACCAAAAAGCTGAAAGTGGAAAAAGATGAGGAAGAGCACGTAGGTCCAAGTTGAAGCCCCAGAACTATCACACACACACAAAGACAAAGCTGAATTTTGTTCGGGGAATTTGAAGACAATTTTATTCTACTATTATAAAGAGTCACTGATCTGAATTCTGGTAAAAATTAGATTACAGTGAAAAAGTTTTTTCAAAGTATATTTTGAGTATTTTGAAAGAATTCCTTTCTTTCAAGTGTTAAGCCACAAATGTTATCTAATGTAATGCATTTATTTTCCCATTAGTCATGCGTAGTTGAAGCATACCAGTTTTTTTAAAAGATAAAAATTAAAAAAAAATGAGATCAGGAAGTTACTCTGGTGTCAGTTTTGGGCGTAAGAGTTAACCATTAGAAGTTATAAGCGAATGACTTTATAGGGCTGCAGTACAGATTCTTGATGTTATCTTTCTCTTTGAACAGTGAGAAGTGTCTACCCACAGAGGGGCTTTCCTCAGTACCTCCCCCCCCAAGCTGGGTTGTTTCACCCAGCCCCACATTCTGAAAGCAGCAGCCAATTCCCTGCAGCACTGACTCCGGCCAGTGAACCTGCTGCAGAACCTCCCAAGGCCCAACAAGAAGCCTGATGGCACTTGATTGCTTGCTCCTCAAGTCATCTCCACCCAGCTGGTCTTCAGTTTAAGTAACTGCTGTTACTTAAGTGATTATACTTCTGCTCAAATTGAAGCTCAATGGAATAAGAATTCTCAGGATAGAACTTTGTAAATAAAGATGATTTAAATATGAGTCTTATGAGTAAATTATTTCCTTTTTATTCCAGATGACTTAATTTTGATTATCCACTAATCCACTCTTACCCAAACAACAATGGGGATTTTATATGCATAATCTTGCAGTTGTGGGGGGGAGGGGCATGTATTTTAAACTTCAAAGGCTGCTTCATTATGCCAGGAAATAGATCCCTGTGGTTGTAGACAAATGTGAAAATTTTGTGCTTACATTTTGATTTTAAGACTTGTTTTCTGTTGATAATAATAAAAACAGCTAGTTTTTTTTTTTTATAAATATGGCTTCCATTAAATTCATTCTTTTCCCTATACCAGTAACAAGGAGGTTGAAAACTAAAACTTTTTGTAGGTCTAATTTGATTGTCTTATTTTTTAAAAAGTATCTTCTTCCTTTCAGATAGACATACATGAACCAAGTAACTAATTTACCATAGTTCAAAAAATCAAAATTGATTATATTTCAAAGAAATCCAGATACTGTCTAATGGTGAAATGTGGAATACTGGTCTTCTGGTGCATTTTTATTTCTCTCATTTTCTTCTTGTAAGGTAGTTAGCACTTTCTGTGGGGAAAGATGAGATTTGCTTCAGTGTTTAGTGAGGCAGTGTCATCATCTTGAGTGTCAGACTGTTTTCCAAGTGTTTCAGGTTGCGTTCTAGTATTAATCCTCTGGCACCTTACTGTGATTATAAAGGAAACTCAATGGCATGTAACTGTACACTTGTAGTTGTTTGCTTGGACTTTTTTTTTTTCTTCAGTACCAGAGATTACATATTTTTGGAAGTGGAGCTGTGGGTCAAGTGATAGGGTAGCAGCCAAAGCAAAAAAGGTAAGGGAGAATGCCCTGGGCCCTGAGTTCAAGCCCTAGTTTCAGTGCTTGTGTGTGTACGTGGGCAAATAAACACACACACAAAGGTATATTCTTGCACAGAGCAGAGATGCATTTGTACATGTGACACTCGATTACCAGCATGTTTGCTGTGAACACGGTGTCTCCACTCTTCTTCCCCTACCATGCCCACCTCAGGGAAAGAGCCTGAAAAGAATGGCTCCATATGAAAGGCTTAGATAAAATAAGACATCACACTGATTTTCACTTTGGTCTAAATGTGTTCCTCACAAGTTTTTTTTTTTTTTCTTTTTGGAGGGTTGTGGGGCTTGGGACTCAGCCTGGGTGCTTGCTGTCCCTGAGCTCTTTTTGTTCAAGGCCAGCACTCTACCACTTTGGAGATGGTCTCATGGACTTTTCTGCCCAGAATGGCTTTGAACTGTGATCCTCAGATCTCAGCTTCCTGAGTAGCTGGGATGTAGGGGTGGGGAGACCTGTCATGACCTGAGATAGAAAGGAAGCGAGGAGAAGGTAAGTTAGATGCTAGGAAAAATCCGGAGGAGATTGAGTGCATTGGGCAAGAATATAGAAGGGCAGAGGCTTAATGCAGGTTTAATGGCTTAAATACTTTGGACCTTTAGAATAAATGAACATGTTTAGCTTTGAAGTATATAACCAGATGGAAACATGAAACCTATAGTAAATTTTCACCATTTAGACCTTCCTAGCTCTATTTCCTTAAGTACTCTGTTTTTAAACTATTAAGCTTTTTCAGAAGATAGGCATTTCTTATTTCCTAATTTTATTAAAACTTAGCCATTTGTAATTTTATTGAGATGAAAAATGGCATGTTGATACTTATCTAGATTAGTATTGAACAACTGTAGTATTAACATGTTTAATTTTCCCTTAGAATCTCTTGATTTTTTTTTTTTTCTCCCAGTCCTGGAGCTTGAACTCTGCACCTGGGCACTTTCCTTAAGTTTTTGCTCAAGGCTAGCCTTCTGCTAATGAGCCATAGTGCTTTTTCTGAGTAGTTTATTGGAGAGGTGTCTCAGGGACTTTCCTGCCCAGGCTGACTTCAAACTGTGATCTGTAGATCTCAGCCTTCTGAGTAGCTAGGATTACAGGCATGAGCCACCAGCTTCATTCCATTTTCTTCCCCTCTCCTTTTCAGTGTTATGCTTCCTGTTAGCTGTCTACTTACATTTTCAGGTTCCTAATACCTATGTTATATATAGGCATAAGTATAATGTTTTCTATAGTTGTCCTATAATTGGCCTGAAAGTTGAAAATCAGTAAATAACATATACTAATCATTTAAATAATTATTTATGGTCATACCAAATTAAGCATTAAGTTTCAATTTTTATGAATCACAGTGATATACTTTCTGGGTCAGTCGAAGAGAATGTTCTTGAACATCAAGATAAAATGAACAGTTTTTTCTACTCTACATTCTTCCCACTCACCAATAATGGCTTAAAATAGAGGCACATTTTTTTCTTTGCTTTATTCACAGGCCAGCTGAAGTGAAAGCTAAGGGAATTGCACAACGTTCAGATGTGGCATTGAATGTTATTTTGGCAGCCCTGGGTTCTAGCTGCCTTTCATTGTTCTTTATCTTAAAAATATTTTCATTTAATATTTTTTTATTATTTTATCACATTTATTTTAAAGGGGTTTCAACTCCGAAAGTCAGGTTATGAAGTACAGTGCATCTTGATTAATGCCACCCCCTTCATTTTCCATATCGCAGGGGATGGTGGCTCCCACCTGTAATCCTACCCAAGAGACTGAGATCTGAGGACTGGGTTTCGAAGACAGTCTATACTACTCACAGGGTTAAACTCTGGGGATCCCAGTTCAAAACTAGCCCCAGCAGCAAAGTCCTTGAGACTCCAACCACCAAAAAGAAGTAGAACTGTCACTCAAGTGGTAGAGTGCTAGCTGTTGGCAGAAAAAGCTCAGGGACAATATATATATATTGTGTGTGTGTGTACTGGAGTTTGAACTCTGGGACTCGTGTGTGTGTACTGGGGTTTGAACTCTGGGACTTGTGTGTGTGTGTGTGTACTGGGGTTTGAACTCTGGGACTCATATTTTCCCTTACCTTTACCACTTGGACACAGTTGCACTTCAGTGGGTTTTTTCCCTTATTCATTGTGGTCCCAACTCTTTATATTATGCCAGCATACTGTACAGTATGTGTAGGGCTAGAAGCATCGTTCCAATGGTGGGTGTGTGCTGGTTGCTCACACAGTGTGTTACTCCATTAGCACTGAGTCATGATATTGCTTTCCTGAAGATCCACTATGGATTCATTTATAAACCCAGGCAAGTTAGTTTCTGTATCTTTGTGTCCAGCTAACCATTTTATCCCTCAAAAACCTTACCCTACTGGCTCCTGAACTTTTTTTATTCTGGAGTGGTGGAACAAACAGTCAAGTCATCTTTCTTCATTTTCTTTTTTTTCCCTCTTTTGGCTGTACTGGAGTAAGTGGGCATGCCAGGCAAACACTCCGATTTCTAGCCTGGAAAATAGATTCTGAATTCCATACCATTCAGTAAACTCTGTCAAGGGTGATCTTTTATTTTCATAAGCTATTATGAAGCTCACAGGAGCTGAGAATTTCAGGATAACCCAGTCCAATTCTCACATCAAAGATGAGGAAGCTGAAGTGAAAAGGAGTTTGCGCAGTGTTAGCCAGAATTCAGAAGACATTGAGCTTTAAGTGCTACCCCCGACCTTCATCTGCATGACCTGCATCTATGTGATAGACTGTTCTTCCTATAGTCTAGATAGATTTTAATACATTCAAGTACTTATGTCCAAGAAATAAGGAATCAGTAGCTATACGGACAATTCTTTTTGAATACCCCAGGAAGCAATGCCTAAGCCAATCGGTGAGAATTAGGGAAGGAAAAACAGAAAAGAAGCTGTGTTCTTTGCTGTCAGGAGAGTGGTGTGTCTCAAGAACCAAAAATAGTGATCACATCCAACTAGAGCAATAAAGGGCTTTGTGAAGTTACTACTGGCATATCTAAATATTTGTGCCTATGGTACAGGAATTAAAAAATTGATCAATGATGTGTTCTAAGTGTGCACTACATTGGGATTTTGGACTAACAAAGGCTTTGTCATTAAAGATATTTTTTTTGTTGTTGGTTGTGGGGCTTGAACTCGGACCGGGAGCTGTCCCTCAGCTCTTCAACTCAAAGCAAGCACTCTACCTCTTCAGCTACAGCACCACTTTCGATTTTCTGGTGGTTTATTGGAGATAACAGTCTCACGGCCTTTCCTGCCTGGGCTGGGTTTGAACTGCGATCCTCAGATCTCAGCCTCCTGAATAACTAGGATTACAGGTGTGAGCCACCAGTGCCCGGCAGTCATTACTTTTTAAAAACTAAAAACATCTAAACTATTTTAGCTTTGCTGCACCAAAATGCAGTATCAGCTGACATGATTATACAAAATCAAAGATTATCACAGTTTATTTAATATTCAAGGTTTTCATGCTTCATATACAATAAGCGATTTCAATGGTCACTTTTTAATGCTTTATTCATTGATTAAAAGAATATACATTTAACATAAACCACACAACATCAGTCATCAGGTCAAACATTCAGCTGGTTTCCTTACAGTTTCTGTCAGGAGTTATTTTATCTGATCACATGTACAAGATAAAATCTCCCCACAGCTGGCATCTGCACACACTGTGCCAGTGGATTCACACTACTGATGTACATATAAAACCCGCATGGTATGTGCTCACTGGAGACAAAACAGTGCACACCTGTCAAAAGGTCATTTAATAGAAGATGGTAAAACCATTTGTAAAACATAGAAACTTTTTCCATAAATAGAATCATATCTGGACATCTGTTGCATAAATTGTGTTTCCAAAGCTTACAATAGAGCAGCCAGGTCTCAGCACTGCTGGGCACCTGTGTTGGCTACTTACTTTATTATTGCAGACTGTCCTTTAACATTAAATGCACAACATTCGTACCACTTAAAACTGGGGTCAGGTGGAAGTCTCACAGAGACCACGTCTGTACCGCGGTTGCCCTGAACAGTTAAATTGGCTTTTAAAGCCTCTCAGATATAACAAGGTTTTAAAACATACTTCATGGAATGTTCTTCATGTAGCATAGCAGCTCAT